CCGTCATTTTTTCAGTATCACGAAACAGACTCGGCTAGTCCAGAAACAACACAAATTCAAGTTGTCATCTATCTTTCGACATGCATGCTACCCATATATAAAGGTGATATCCAACAAACAATGCAAGACATTCGCTGCCAAGCCACCAACTTACTAGCTACAAACGGATCTACCGGTCGACGACGAATCGTCAAAACCCATTTGTCGAAAGACCATTTCGTCGAATGACCATTTCATCGAACAAAGTCAAAATTGTCGTTATTTAAGGGATCAACTACCATTATTATAACGTGGTACAAATTAATAAAATAATTGCTCACAATTGTCTCTGATTTGAAAGAACTGATTTTCAAAGATCTAAAGTCAGAAAATCTCGGCTATTTAGCAAATCGTTGAGCACATCTGATTAACTGTTAATTACGTCGAAATTGTGTATGACTGGAGCTCCTAAACATTGATCACTTTTATGATATAATAGTGTAGATTAATAACTCTCTATATTATATTTATTTTATTAGTTAAAAAAATGGTTGGCTAAAAATAACAACATTTTATCAATTCGTGTGTACTATACAGTGGAGGTTGATCAACATTTGAGATCGCCAACCACGATCTGCTAAAGGCTGATTTTTCCTGTCTTTAGATCTTGTTTTTTTTACAAAACAATTACACACAATGTTTCCTCCAATTCATACCATATTCGTTGGTATTTAGATATATTCAACTTTCGATGAAATGGCCATTCGACTAAATGACGTGCACAAACAATCATCGGCATAACCATGAAGATAAAAACAGTTTGTTTATATAATTATAGCAAAATGTGAAATTAAGCAAACTTCAAAATGATGAGTTGCTAAACCATCTTCTCAACAACCATACGCATGGCTAAATAGCATTGAAGATATAGAAAGAAATATAAAGATAAACAAAAGTCAATTCACTAATCTGTCTGAAAGAAATATTAAAAATTTGATTGTAAAAATGACGAGATTCAATGGAAAAAACTGGCAGATAAATCAAGTCTCGTTCATTATAGAAAATTTAAAACAAATTTAAAATATTGTGAGAAATATTTAAATTCTTTATCTAACTTCAAGGGCACCTAATTAAAATTCAAGGCAAGATCCTGCACTCTTGGTTTGGCATATGAGAAAAGGAAATGGGCAAACTTGGATAATAATGATTGTATCTGTCCATGTTGCAAAAAGGAACCTGAAACACTGGAGCATTTCATATTACATTGTGAATGTTTCTCAGCACAGAGAAAAACCCTAATGGAAGGGATTAAAATGCTCCTATGCAACAAAAACGAAATAAATTTACATAAAGACTTCATAGCAAACAAAGAAGTGCTATGTTTAATCCTGGGTGACAGTATATGTCAGTATAATTCAGTCTGTGTGACGAAATTGATACTTTTACAAAAAAATTCTTAGTTGATGCCATGGAGAGTAGAAAGAAGTATACAGATAATATTTAATATTTTTCCAGTGTACTTCTTATATTTTAGTTTTCATTTTTTTTGCTACTTTTAGATGTTTTTTGTTGTTGTTATATTTTGTTATCTTAGTTCATGTAACTTAATTTCTTTTTGTCTATCAACAGTTTTTTCTTTAGTCTGTGAGTGAAATGTATTTTATTTGGTGCAGCTCCTAGTTTACATAGTGAGCCCCTGTTACAAAAGGGAAGCAATAAATAAATAAATAAATAAATAAATAAATAAATAAATAAATAAATAAATAAATAAATAAATAAATAAATAAATAAATAAATAAATAAATAAATAAATAAATAAATAAATAAATAAATAAATAAATAAATAAATAAATAAATAAATAAATAAATACACTTCCACAATTTCTAACACACATAACACAAAGCGTATACCTACATATTAGTAGTTTGAGTATATTCGAAAACTGAATTTGTGGTTTCTGTGGCTTCCAAAATAGACATTTTATTTATGCTCAAGCATAACTCAATACCCGAGGACGGGCGGAAAAACTTTACAAGCATTTTACATTTCCTCATGAAATTGTATAATGTTACAGTAAAACGACTTAAAAATGAATTAAAAACAAATATTTGCATATTAGTTTTTGCGTATTTATGTATGTTTTGTGGTACTAGTATCTTTTCAAATTTTTTTTTTGGTTGAGCTCAGTTCTCTCGAGCACATCACGCTGTTAATTGTATACCATATCTGGCCATTTCATAAGCATGATTATCATTTTACTGTACTGATTGAATTATCAGCTTCCTGTTACAAAATGCTGATGTTAAACTACATAGGAATGCAGGGCTTTTTATGAAGTTATACGATTGCACAGCACACTATTACAAAACTCGAAACAACATTGACGCCTGAAAAAAAGTCACGTGTTCGGTCGATGAGGGCGTTGTCTCGCGCGTCGTTACTGCAACGTTTGGCATCATAAAGACTACAGCTGTAAAATTTGTTCAGGCCATCCATCGGATATCCACGATTATAAACGGCATCCGTAAGTAGTTTATAGCATTTTGCGTTGTTTCTTATTGTAGTCGTCCTATGAAACTAGTTGTAGTATTTTGTGAGTGTTATTTCCTTCAAAAAATAGCTCACAAATCCACCACTGCCGTCAACAAACGTGCGTCTTTGTACTATTAAATTAATGACGTCCCTATAGTCGTGTTCAGGGACATAGTTTATTGGAGTATCAGGACGATAATATATATTTAGAATGAGTGCATGGACAAACAAATCGAATCGGACGGGAGTCTGGTGATTTGAATCTACGGTAGTTTCCAGATCTATGAAGAACTATGCTTGGAGCGATAGTGAAATTGTAGTTTGTTTACGTTCGTGTCTTGCAGTACATGTGATGTACCCCTACCAGAATGGAGCCTGGAACTGGGCCACACCATGATTAATTTAATATCAGAGGTTATTTCACGAGTTAAAACTTATTGTTAAGTAAATATCATCTATGTAGTGGTGTGGATCGTGGAAAAGCGTTCCCCTCGTACCCTCAGCCCAGCTCCCTCCAATTCAATTATATATTCCCCCACTAGATGACTGTTGGATAAGGAAGCCATATTTAAATTGGGAAGTGAAATATTGTCATCAGTTCACTTGAATGAAATTGTGTTAATAGAACCATATAAATGTGTGATTGGAGGGGGTAGTTTGATATATGCTCTCAGTTTATGTTTTCAAATATCACACTGGTAAATAATTATTTCACATATCAAACTCGAAATCATGTCAACCCTAATTCTGATTTCACACTCAAAACTGTTAATCTTCAATTTTATTGTTTTATTTCAATGATTCAAATCTGTGACATTGTCTTCAATCGCTTGTTTTATTTCAGTAATTACACAAGATCATCATGGACACTCGCCCTAATCATACCATATACATTAATAACCTCAATGAAAAAGTAAAAAAAGATGGTAAGTAGAAGTTACTTTATTATTTATTGTCGTATGTATATAATTTTGTATAGTAACTACAATGTACCATATCCTGTCTGTTAATAGTTTGTGCACTTAGGTAATATTATACTTTATTTAGTTAGAATTAATTTTCACTGAAAAAAAACTTTTTGGGTTTTTTGATTGGAGTTTTTCATTTTGACTTGCATTCGCTGCTACATTTTATTTTCGCTGAATTATCCCTTTTTACAGTATGCAAATGGTAATTTTTAAAGACACATTTTTAATGATTCAATAAAACAATACATGCATTGTTTTGTTTTTGTGTGTTTCTATTGGAGATTCACTTAGAATAGAATTAATACTATTAAATTACTCTACAAGTTATCTTTATGTTGGGAAGATTCACACACGAGTATGTGCTATAAATCGTTTTAGTTTTGTGAGGCAAATTTTTGCAAAATTAGTGTCTTGTGTAAGATTTTGTCTTCATCAAAAATTAAGTTGTTTACAGTAAACTTCATAGACAATCTTAAAACCGTAGTCACAGCAAAACTTTACATGTGCTGTGACTGCAATGTTTGTGGTTACTTAAAATTCAAACATATTCTGCATGCTTTCATGGTGTTCTGTACGACATTCATATAAATTGGGAAAAGTGATGTTGCTAGTTTTCTTTCGTGTCTGATTACTGAATGAACAGTTTTATTGTAGCAGAATCGAGGAATGCATGTAAACTGGAAATTTCACCACTAGTTTTATCTAACCAATACAAAATGTTTTGTTTTTCAGAATTAAAGAAATCATTGTATGCGATATTTTCTCAGTTTGGTCAAATTCTAGATATTGTGGCAATGAAGACTCTGAAGATGAGGGGACAAGCATTTGTTATATTCAAAGAAATAAGTAGTGCAACTAATGCGCTAAGATCAATGCAGGGGTTTCCATTTTATGACAAACCTATGGTAAGAACTTGAACTACACATGACTATTTTAACATCTTCAGTGTTCTCCACAATCCAAAATTACTGGTGGGCGGTCTAATTAGCATAAATTTGCATATCATTTACATACAGCATTCTAGCATTTATGTCATGGATGCATTATTTACTATTCTTTTTAATTTGATTGAAACATGTTACAATTTTTTGAAATACAAAAAGATTGGTCACTATCAATATTTACAAAATGCAAAATATTTGAAATCGATGATTTATACGTTCGCAAATTATTCTGCGTTCATGAATGCAATTCGAGTAACCAAGAGCAAGTACAAAACATAGTTATAATGTAGAAAATAAGGTGATTTGTCCCCGAAGCCAAAACGGACGATTTGTCAAAACAAAACCATACCATTTTCACTTGTGGCATCAGTACTCGCTCGTGCCGACGGACGGTAAGATGCATTTACGCATGTACGGTCACGATACGTTGCATTTTCACACGTTGTTTTGTAATTCAAGAAAAAATGATAGCTATCAGCAAATTAAAAGAATCTATGTTCTCGAAATATTAGACATAAAAAATGGATAAATTGAAAAAAAGTACGTGGAAAAGATAATTAAAATATTATTTAATTACAAATACTCGCAGTAAACTAATCCAGCAGCCATGTTTTGATGTTTATTACCGCTTTCCGAATTCAGTACGCGAACACCCAGAATGTGCTGTTCCCCTATGCAACTTAGATACTAAATCGTTACAGCGCCAACATCGGTGGGTGGCAGACGGTCGTTGAAAAGGTCACCAGTTTGCCTTCTCCATGCTGTTTTCACGGTGAAAATCGAGCGAACGTTGTAAATTTTTGTTCGAGTTTACATGCAATCTGCTAATATGTTTATTTTCTGTGCATATACATTTCGTTCGTATTTACTTCTTTCTTTCTGATCGGAAGACGATTATTACAAATACAGCTGTAAATTGAAACTACTGTTGTTGCGTATTGTGAGCAATAAGTGGCAACAATGTCGGGCGACATTGAATTCAGGCGATTGACACATTGCCATGCATACACTTAATAACGGCTTGCAGACTTGCAGTGGTCATTGTTTATGTTTGGACTCTTGAAACAATAGCAAAATATAGGGTTGGGCGACTACTCTTTTGTTTAGGCTTGGGAAAAACAATACAACCTTTTTAAAAATAATTTCAGCTGGATGTACGTTGGTGGGCGGGTGTTGAGTTACTAGGCGGCCGTAAAATTTGATTGATGGGCCGCCCACCTAAAACCCCTTGTGGAAAACACTGATCTTGGATCAATGATGTGCAATAGTACAATACTGAAGACATGTTTGGAGTACAGTGGCAACTAAGTAGTGTCTGGTGCAACACCTGTTGAAAGCCTCTATCGATAGCTAAAATGAATGGTAAAAATGCTGTCAAAAAGAGATGTTTCATGTAAACAATTTATTTTACTGTACATACATTGCATTTCAACCCTACGAGTCCCATATGGGCTGTGACATGACAACTTGTAACGCATCACCCAGTTTGTACAATACTGTATCCTTAGCCAGAGATTATGTTCAACCATCTATTAGCTTTACAGAAAACTTGAATGCTTAATATCAGTTGCACTTACTAACATGAACTTGTGTTACTTCTTAGCTATTTTTATTCCGGTGCCTAGGTTTCTCAGTAACAAGTCTGAAAAACGTTTCTTTTATTTCATGCATTTTGTATTTTAATGTACTTGATTGAAGGTGGTTAGTGAGATGAAATCATAACATTCATCATGGCAAATTTGCTGAGGGAAACACAGTATTGTTCTCATGAGCCAAGAGGTTCAGGTTAACAATGATACGGTTTGTATATGCTGGTTTTGCACTCTGTGAATGTCTTAAAACAAGATATTGATGATATTAACTCTTACAGAGGATAGGCTACTCCAAAACAGATTCAGATGTGATTGCAAAGATGAAGGGTACATTTGTTGAAAGGAAAAGAGAGAAAAAGAAAACTGAAGAGATTGCAAAAAGTATGTTATTAAACCTTTCATCAGTGATAAATTCTCTTTTCATCATGGGTGCAATGAAGGTCTTCTTTTGAGCTATATTGTTAGCTCCGCTGTCGATTTTGTTGAGCGGAGCTTATCATATGAGTGATTGTCGTCCGTGTCAATGTTTTACTTTTTCGACTTCTTCTTGAAAACTACAAGCCTGAATGCTTTGATACTTGGTGTATATGTACCTTGGGTAGACCTCTCTCAGATTTGTTCATTTTGTAATGATATCTTTAATTCTCTGATTTTGGTGAATATTTTTGTCATTTTTGGTAAAAAGTGATATTTTCAACTTCTTGTTAAAAACCGCAAGTTCAATTGCTTTGATATTACCTATATAGGTACTACATGTGGAACCTCTCTCAGATTTGTTCATTTTGTAATGATATCTTCTGTTCTTTAATTGCCATGTGCATTGCTAACAGCGGAGCTATCTCAGCCGACAGGCTGCTTGTTTTGATTTGTAATCTGTAAGAAACGAAAATAAATTAGCAACTACACAACCAGTCACAGTTGTAGGTTTCAAAACCTCTATTTTTTTGGTCATACATTACACAAAACGTCACAAAATTGTAGAAATTTAAAAACTTTACAAAACAAAATAATCAAACTTACATCATCTCAACTTTTTTCTTTCAGCACAAGCTAAGAAACCAAAGAATATGGTGTCTGGTAGTGCACCAGGACAGCAATCGGGGCCAGGAGCTGGCGGAGCAGCAGGAGGTGCTCAAATACCAAACATGGGTCTTCCATCACTCATGTCTCAACCACCTCCAATGCAGCAAGGTATGTTCTTGTATGGTTGCCTTGGAAACTTGACCAAAAATGTGATTTTTTTGATGACCAGTAAAATCATTTTAAATTAACAAGAAAAATTCATTACATAATCTTGATTGGAATGTGGGGGGAAAAAACTTCCTGATTTTACATTTTCACATATTGCCCGATATCCAACACCAAATAAACCATTACAAGATCATGGAAATCATTCAGGGTGCAGGTGATAAAAGTGCATTTCTGGATATTGATTTTCAAAATTGATGCAACATTGTAGATTCATTTGATTCGTGTCACTATTTTATCCCAATTGTATCTACTATACTACATTTATTTCAATATAAATTCATTAATCTTGGTTGCGTACCTTTAGTTTGCACCTACAATGTAGCGCTTATGAATAATTATGCAATTTCCTGTTGTCAACTGACAAGCTTTTATTTTCTTTACCAGCTGCTCCACAATCGGTACAAGAGCAACCTCCAAATAACATCTTGTTTTTAACCAATCTACCAGAAGAAACTAATGAAATGATGTTACAGATGTTGTTCAATCAGTAAGTTCTGATATCACTTTGAAATATCTCCTCACTGTCTCAGTGAATGCTACTCTACACACCAGTTTTAAGTTTTCCATTATTCCTGAAAAAAATACATGAATTGTTGCGTTACTTTGTCAAATATAGAATCAAAATATGATTGCCTAGTTCTAATATTAGTGGAAATGTTTGTCATTGCAGATTTCAAGCGTTTAAGGAAGTTCGTCTGGTGCCTGGTCGTCATGACATTGCATTTGTTGAGTTTGAGAATGAAACCCAAGCAGGTGTTGCGAAGGATGCCCTCCAAGGTTTTAAGATAACGCCATCCAATGCGATGAAAATATCATTTGCCAAAAAATAAGTGTTTGTGTGAAGCAGAGCAGTGTAAATAATGTTACGATTGGTAGGTATGGTTGCTATGGACAGGACAGTTTACTGCAGTTCATGTATGATCCCAGTCAGAAGCATTGCACTTTGATTCTTCACAAAAAACTGTGAACTTAGTTCAAATATGGGATAACATTGGTACATACACGTGGTTGCTGAGTGTGGTATGTATATAGGTTTAGTTTATTGCAATTATTGTATTTTCA